GGAGGTGGATTTGGGCAGAGAACGTGGATTTCCCCAGAACGTGATTGTAGACGGCTGGTGTGAGTTCCGGAATAAAGAGTTGCTGTTTGAATCTACAAGCTGTGTGGTGGCTCGTGATTGTGTGCCCAGCCAGACTGCGGCAGAAATTCTTCAAATGAAAAAAATAATAATAATAAAAGAAGAAGAAACAATAATGAGTAAGGAGAAAAAGGTAGAAAACTCAGTGTTCATATTAGTCATATAGGAAATTTCAGAATGTTCTAATATCGTGAATATGGTGAATAAGTCAGTATCTATACTAAAAAATCTAAAATAGCAATTAAAATTAATATTACCAAACTTAATATGTGTGCAGGCCTGCTATCCCTGCTACTCTATAAGATGAGGCAGGAGGATACCAAGTTTAAGACCAGCCCTGGGAAATTTATGAGACTCTGTATCAAAGTAAAATAAAAAAGGCTGTGAATGTAGCTCAGTGGTAAAGCATCCCTGGGTTCTGTCACCAGTAATTTTAAGAGATAGATGGATATAGAATGTAAAATGGAATATTAAATATTCAAAGTATGGAAAGAAATGGAGTGTAAGGGTACAGTTTCTTTCTTCCATATGCTTATTAATGCATTATAGTTGTACATATTTTCTTCCCTCCTCAAATGAGATTTGATAGTACATATTTGCACATGTACACAATACAAAATGTAACAGTATAATTTGGCCAGTATCACTCCCAGCACTTCCCCACTCCTTCCCCATCTCCCAACTCTTGGTAAATTTCTTCTACTGATCTGCCTTTGATTTACATGAGATCCATCTCCACCTTTTTTTTTTCTATTTTTCTCTCCAGCTTCCACTGAGAATAAACATCCCTGGAATTCTACCCAGCCACAAAAAGAATGAAAACATGTCATTTTCTGGCATGGAACTAGAGAAACATAATACTAAGTGAAGTAAGCCAAACTCAGAAAGAAAAGGGTTGAATGTTTCTCACATGCAAAAGATAGAGAAAAATGTGGAATGAAAAAGAGGGGGGATCTCATAAAAATAAAAGGGAGAGGAATTGACTAGGGGAAAGGGATAAAGGGATAGGGAGGAGAGGAGGGAGGGAAAAGGGAAGTGCTGGAGAATTAAATGGAATACATTACATTATGTGCACATATGAATATGTCACAATGAACCCCATTATTAGGTATAATTATAATTCACCAATAGAAGCATTTTTAAAATATATCATTAGAAATAAATGCACTAGAAGCTAAAATCTAACACAAAATATCAATGAAACAAAGGGCTAGCTCTTCAAAAATATAATATTGACCAAGTCTTAGCTAAACTAAGAAAAAGAGAAATGACTCAAAGTCAGAGATGAAATGGAAGACTTAACTAGCACCACAGAAATGCAAAGGATCTTTAAAGAACTATACACCAAAATATGGCAACCTAGAAAAAAATGGACAAGTTCCAGGACACCTACACTTTATCAAAATTGAATTGTGAAGAAAGAATTCATCAATGTTGCATGATACAAAATCAATATAACAACATATTAGAAATATTGTTCACCATTATCAAGCAGTATTCATCCTAGGGATTAAAGGATGATTTAGCATATGTAAATCAATAAACATGGTATACTACATCATCATAATGAATAATAAAAACCATATGACCAAAGGGAAGGGGTATGAGGGTAAGAAGATAATAGAATGAATGGCACATTATAATCCTATGTGCATATATAATTACATGATCCATGCAATCCTACATCATGTACAACCATAAGAATGAGAAGTTATACTCCATTTATGTAATTATGTATCAAAATGCATTCTATTGTCATGTATAACTAATTAGAACACATAATTTTTAAAAAATGATATGACCATCTCAATAGATGAAAAAAATTCAGCTTATAATGTTCATCATCTCTTCATAATAAAATCACTGAACAAATTAGGTGTACTGTTAATGTCTTACTAAATGAAGAAAAATTGAAAGTTGCTTAAAATTGTGACCAAAAAAATGATGCCCACCTTCATCACTTTTATTGAATGCAGTGGCAGAAGTCCTAACCTGAACAATGAGGCAAAAGAAAGAAACTGAGAGCATATAAGTTGGAAAAGAAGTCAAACTGTCACTGATTATAGATTATGTTATCCTACATATAGAAAATTCCAACAAACCTACTGAAATTATAACTATTAGAACTAATAAATGAATTCGTCAATGTTGCATGATACAAAATTAATATACAAAAATGATAGTGTCGCTATATACCAATCGTAAATTATTTGAAATAGAAACTAATAAACCAATCTCATGTAAAATAGCTACAAAATATAATATTTAGAAATAAATTTAAGCAGAAGTGGAAGTTCTCCATAATAAGTATCATAAGACATTAATGAAAAAAATTGGAAAGAACACAAAAAGGATATCCTTTGTTCATAGATTGGAGGAATAAATATTGATATTAAACACATAAAACCCAAAATGATCTGCATATTTAATGCAATCCCATGGAAATACTATTTGCATTCTTCACAAAACTAGAAATAACAATCTCAAACATTTATATAGTATTTCAATACACTTCAAATACCCAAAGCCATCCTGAGGAAAAGGTTAAGCAGGAGGCATTATACCACTTGAGTTCAAAATATACTACAAAGTTGTAGTCACTGAAATTACATGATATTGAAATACATATAGACACATAAACAAAGAGAACAGAGTAAGAATCCAGACGTAATCCACAGTGAATTGATTTTCCCCAAAGTTTCTAAAAACAGGCATAGGAGAAAGATAATCTTTTCAACAAATGATGCTGGCAAAAAAATTGGACATCCACAATTAAAAGAATAAAACTAGACTTTTATATTTCACTATTTACCTAAATGAACTCAAAATAAATTAAATATTTAAGTGCAAGATCTGAAACTAGAAACCACTAGAAGAAAACAGAAGGGAAACCCTTCAGGGTATATAGTTTGCCAAGATTTTTAGGATAAGACCCCAAAACACAAGAAAAACTACCAAGATTATACAAATTGGATTAATTCAAACTAAAAATCTTAGCACATCAAAGGTAACACTTAAAAGAGTGAAGAGACAAACAATAGAATGGAGAAAATACTTTCAGCCAAGAAGAAATTGACACCTAGATTATAAAAAAGAAGTCCAAAAACTCAATATTGAAAAACCAAATAACCATTTAAAAGTGGGAAATAAATGCAAATAGATATTTCCCAAAGTGGGACATATAATTTGGCAATAGGTATATAAAAAGGGGCTCAACATCACTAATCACAGAGACATTTAAATTAAAAAAAAAGTGAAATATCACTCTGATTAGCTATTCTCATACCGTCTAAAGGTAACAAATGCTGGTGAGGATATGGAGAAAAGGGTTGGTGGAAATAGAAATTGGTAAAGCTATTATGGAAAATATTATGGAGATTCCTTAATTAATTAAAAAATTAATTAACATGAAATCCCACAATTCCACTACTGAATACACTTCCAAAGGGAATGAAATGTTGTTGAAGAAATATCTCCATCCTGTGGTAATTGCTGCATGATTTACAATAGCCAAGAAATGGAAACACTCCAATTATTTGTCCATAAATGAACAGATAAAGAAAATGTGGAACATATTTATGATGGAATACTATTTGGCCATAAACAGAATGAAATTTGCAACAACATGGATGGAACCAGAGTTATTGTGTTAACTGAAATAATACAGGTACAGAAATACAGGTGCTATATGATCTCACTCATATGTGGAATCTAGAAATATTTATATCAGGGATGCAAGTTTAGTCCAGTGGTAGAGCAGTTTTTCTACCATCCATGAGACTTTGGGTTCAATCATCAGCACCTTAACATAAATTTAAAAAATAACTAGTTTTTCATAGCAACTGAGAATAGAATGGTAATTATCAGAGGCTGGGGAAAATAGGAGTGTTGAAGTGATTGGGAAAATTTGGCCAATGAGTACTATTTTAGTTCACTAAGAGTAAGAAGTTCTGTTGTGCTATTGCATCAGCTGGGTGACCATAGATAAAAAATAATGTACTTTTTATTTCACAAAGCTGTAAGAAAAGACTTTGAAGATCTTTACCATAAACAAATACTAAATATTTGAGAAATATTTGAGAAAACTTATATGTTTAACTTGATTTAAACATTTCACAATGTATGTATTGAAACCTAACCTGTATGTATGTATGTATGTATATATATATAATATATATAATATATATATATATATATGTATATATATATAATATATATAATATATATATATATATATATATAGTTTTATATGTATCAACTAAAAAAAAAACTTAAAGAAAAATTAAAGGGAAGTCTACTCAACTCAAATTTCCTGACTTGTCTTACCCCTAGCACACATACATGTACACATGGAGAAATATCCACTGTCATTATTCTAGTAAAAATACAATTTGCCAAATAATCATATACAATACCATTTAGTAAATGAATATATTTTTATACATTTTTTCTAAGAATCTTTATAATAATTTTGCAAAACTAAAGTAAATTATATTAGAATTTAAGACAAATGATCATATGCAAATGGCCAAAGGGTAATTTAAGAACAGAATTTTCATAGAATTAAAATCTTAAAATATTTTATTTATATCCCTGTCTGCCCTCAACTCCAATCTTACCATTTTAAGTAGCTAAATATTGGTTGTCATCCACTTGAAAAAAAAATGCTGCATCCTCCTCTTCCCCTATTGAATTAAGATCAATTTCACTTCAGATTCTGTAAAAGTCCAGCTTTAGTTATGATAGAAGCTATTTCACATATTTTAATTGTCTCTCTTAAATCTATAATACCTAATTTCAAGGTCCTAATAGAGAACGTTGGTTTTGAATTTTTTGTTTTTTGTTTGTTTGTTTTTGTTTTGTTTTGTTTTCTTTATCTGAGTGGAAGACTTCAAATTGCACTACTTTAGTAGTTTGTTTACCTGCACAAAAACAGTAAAAAGGATAACAACTGTAGTTGCTGCAATGAAGAGCTTCTTTCTGGAAAATTCTGGAAGCAGGAAAACAAGAGAGAAGCAGATTGCTCCCCTAAGTCCCCCATAGGCTATAATAAACTGGTCCTTTCTGGTCACTGTATTCATATGACATTTGCTCACGAAGAAAGTCAACACAAGAACTCCTAAATGTTTCAATAAAAAGAGGAGAGGAGCTAATTAATCAGCAGAAATAATGTTAAAATTATGTTGTAATAAATTGGTTTTGAACTAGTTTAGAATTCTAAGGGCTTGTGATCAATAATTTAAAATCTTAAACTAATTAAGCAACTTAGAGGTTTAGTTTATAAAATTACATTCAGAGAGTTTACTTTAAATAGTTGCATTTTTGTTTTGATTTGTTTTGTTGTTTTTTTTTTATTCTTATCATTCTTGGTTTTTAGAATTTAAGCCATACTTGTTTTCCTTGGGCCCACAAGGATTCTCTAGGGTACACTTTAAAAGCAATCTCCAGGGGCTGGGGCTGTGTGGCTCAGTGGTAGAGCACTTGCCTGGCATGTGTGAGGCACTGGGTTCGATTCTCAGCACCGCATATAAATAAATAAAATAAAAGGTCTATCAACAACTAGAAAATATTTTTCAAAAAAAGCAAACTCCACAAACAAAATGTAACATTTCTATTCGGTCTTATAAATGCTACTGATCAGATACAAGCTTATGAACTAAAAGCTAAAGAATGTGACCTGTGCAATAATTCCATATAGTTCAAGGCTTTCAATAAGGGTGTTTTTTTTTGTTGTTGTTGTTGTTGTTTTGGTTTTTTTTTTTTTTTTTTTTAACATCTACCTAGGATCCAGGGTTCTGAGAACCTCAGCTAAAATTTTTAATTACTCACATTTCATTATCATCTCAAAATCTAACCTTGGCGAAGATAGAAGTATTAGATCATGTACTAATACAATTTGAGACCCAAGTGAATCATTTGTCCCACAGATCATATTATACTACTATACTTGAGTTATATTTCACTCCTTTTCCCTCTCCTTTCAATATGCAGTACATCTTGAACATTTTTCTGTAAGTAGGTTTATCAAATAATTTATTTCAAGACCAGAAAGAAAATACAAGATCCCTTGACAGGAGTACTGAAAATCGGGATTATTTTATGCAAATTTTTAATTATTCGTTACATTAATGCATAGTATTGGAGTTCATTCCGACATAATTATACAAGAATGGGATACAATTTGATCCAATTCAGTCCCCAAGAATTCCTCTATCTCTCCCGTCTTCCCACTCCCTGTTAGTGGAAAGCACAGATTCTTACGGAAAATTTGAGCTGAAATAAGTTGTTGGACAGACAGTTCTGACTAAATTGATTTACGTTAAAAAAAATCTCAGATTCTCTGCCTTTGAGTATAGCAATTTAAGGTGCCATAGGGTTGATTTGCAACCATTTGTGGATGATCAAAAAATTTATCTATTTCTATTATTTAAAACATTGGAATTAAATTTAAGTATTTTTTACATGGTGAAATGAAAATATAGTCAAGCCATTAGAATAGATATAATGAAAATAATAACTAAATTCTCTCAAAAGTCCAGAGACTTGAAAAATGTAAATTTTTTTAAATTGTTGAATTCTTTTTAGCTCTTTTAATTCACTATTTTGTTACTACAAAAGCAGAAGGAACTCTTAGAGAAAAATTAAAATATGCAAAGAAAGAACATAATACTCATAATCTCACCCATTCTAAGAAAACAATTGCTAATACTTTAGAATAAAACTTTCCAAATCCACATGATTATGTTTATATTATTATTTTTCTAGTAGTTTGTTTTAACCACTCCCTTATTTTTGAACATTTAGATATTCCAATAAATGTCTAAATCTATATAATACATTCTTATTCTGTATTGAAATTGACAGTACTCAAATATAGTGACACTATAATCATTTTGAACCAAATTACAATTTTATCCAAGTTGACATGTAATCTAGCACACTTTGAGTCAAACTACATTAAGTAAACTTAGTTGATTATCTTCAACTAATCAAAATTGACAGAAATCTGGTGTTTTAGTTTTGATTTTTACTGATCTCATATAGGCACCCAAATCAAAAGGAATAAGAATATTCTGATGTACCAACTACTAATGCGTAATTTCAGAGACTTGAAAAAATAACATTTAACATAGCTAATTTCCAAAGGGAAAAGAGAATATGGCCTACAGCTTACCTCTTCCATTCATTTATAGGCACAGCCTTAAATCAAATTTTGATGCCAGGCTTATGTAATTACAGATTCCTCACTGACTATGTTGTAAGAAGCATTTATGTATTTCCTCATACTAGATGCAGTGATCATCTATATATTATAGTTCAGAAATAAGAAAATATTGGAAACAGGATCTATTTTTTTCTTCTGAATTTTCACAGAAATCAATTTATAAAAACCTATAGAAATATTGACCTTCTTCTCTAGTTGTAGCTTTTTTGCTAGGTGTTAACATTTTTTTAAAAAAACAAAACATTCTCACTTATCCTTGGTATTAACCTTGGTATCCTCTTTCCTGTGAGTTTTTATCATAGCATATGGACACAAAGTAGATTTTTTAAATCTGATTTTATCTTAAAAGTTGTGTAGGTTTTTTTTAAAGAACATTTTAAAACTCTAGTGAGATTTTCCAGTGGGCTAGACTAAGCCATCAATAGCCTTCTATGAACCTGTATGACATTCACCTGATAATTTCACTGTTAATGTCTAACCTACACACATTTTAATGGATAATAAAGCATACCCTGACCTCTCTTATTATTCATCCTTGAAACCCTAAGCAATTTTCCTAATGTGCTTCTCAGTATTGTTAAAGTAAGTTTCATAGCCTCCAACAAAAAGTCTGCAATGATTTTGTTCATTTGTGGAGGAGGAGACATAAATGTCAAGAAAAGATGATAAAGTATAAACTGAATTCCCATGAAGACTGTAAACCATGAGATTAAAGAGAAATCTCAGTTTAATTAGCAATGAAGGTGTGATTTTTTAGAATGAAAAATATACTATACATGCATATTTCACCTTGGTACAAATGGTATTTTTTTACTATAAGAATTGAACTGAGAAATATTTAGTTTCACCCAACAGTAAAGTCATATATCAGGTAGGACTTGGGAGGACACTAGATGTCACTCAGCTTCCACTAGAGTTTGAGTAAAAGATGAAGAATATATATTTAACTGATAGACTCAGCATTCCCCAAGCCATAGCCAGTACTTCAATAATACTGATGAAACGATACCAGCGTGCTACATATGTACATGAAAGAATGAAAAGTTAAAACAACAGTGCCGAAAGTTGTAGGTGACTTTATCCTTTCTTTGTAATTTGGGATGAGGCTGGCAGATGTAAACACTCAGAAAAGAATCATAAAAACTGCTCAGCTTTTATCCTAGCAATAGCAGTAGTACTGGGTACAAATTCTTAGTAGTATTTCTTGGAGCATTTGTATTTTGTTATATTATTACTTATTATAACATCATTATTACTAATAATATTCAACTTCACTGCTGCAGCTGCAGCAATTGTTAATAGTAGTAAAAAATTACTATTAGTTTTAATTGTTAATAGTAGTAAAAAAATAATAGTAGTAAAAAAACTGAGAGCTTTTAATATACCTGGTTCTTTGCTAACCTCTTTGACTGGATTAGCTCATGTAATTCTTATAATGGCTGGCAGAATTTGTTAGTATCAACACCACTTGCAATTTAAAGTTGAAGAAGCTAAGGCCTAGAATGATTTTATAAATTTGTCAAAGCCACAAGGCTCGAGGGTAAAACTAGGATTTTAATTGAGGTAGTCTATTTCCATAGCCTGTTTCCTAATATTGCTATTAAATTCTTCCTACATAAATGAAAATATATAATAGTCTGCCTATAGAATTATAGAAAATAAGCATATTTAAATATTTAATTCCATGCTTCTAGCACAATCCAAAGTTTAGTCAGCATAGTTTTATGTAAATAACATTTACCGTACCTGATGCTCTCCATATAAGACAAAAAAAGACAGTGAAACAAATGTAAGGCCAATTCCATTCATGGTTATTTCCAATGGTAGAAACACCAAGGAAGATGAAGATAAGAGTGTCACTAACACTGCTCCACATCTTCATAAAATACTTGATAGTAGTATGGGACTTCTGAGAAATGTTAGCTTCCACATAACGTTTCATGCTCATAGCACAAGTGATAATTCTAAAGAAGGAAAAATAATGTGTGAGAATAGCACTTGCATTTAACTATAATGCAAGGTAATCATACAAACATTATTGAAGAATCAGAATTTCTGTTACTCAAGGTACTTTACTGTGTTACAGAATATGAAAAGCATGCCAGTTTCCAAGTTTTATACAATAACATTTCTAAGACTATCAAATATTTAGCTTTCAAAATAGGTGACAATTTCTATGTCCTTTTGTGTGCTGAGAGCAAGTTGCTGGCTTTATCATTTTTGACATTGTCTAATCTCTCCTACTCAAATAAGATTACATTGATAGTTTCTAATCATTAGTTGGCAGTAAATCACTAAGAGCTAAATGCTAAGAATAAAAACTTGATCCTTATAGATTCTAAAGTGCTGCAGTGTTATTAATAAAAATAATATTTTATACTCAGGGATGTTTTGACTATTGTATTCTATCCACCACATTTTCAAAATTATGATTTTATCCTCCTGTCTAGTAAGCCTTTCCAGTCATCCTCAAGAGTATTTTAACACGCCTTTCCATTCACCAAAATGGTTTCATTCCTACAAGCTTTTATTTCTATTTTTTATCATTGTGGGGAAAGATATTCAGACAACAACTTGGAGAGGAGCAGCAAGGGACAGGGATAGAGAGAACATTGTACACAAAATGAACAACAACCGGTTAGTTCCCCATACTAAATTATTTTAAAATAATTCTTTACTGTGGGTGTGGCGAAAAGTGGTAGTCATTCAAATAATCTGCACAGAAGTCAGAATCTTCAATAAAAACAGAAATTCTACCACCTGTAGTAAAACTTTTTTTTTTCCTAAATGCAGAAATCCTAGAAAATGACTCACATTAAAAACCAGAAGGGTCATAATGCCAAAGGAGAAATGTGGGAATCACACTAACTAACCTGTAGGTCAACTATAGATTTGCACAGGGCCAGTCAACAAACAACTAAATCTTGTAATCTGACACTCTGGGGCATAGAACCATAGGTTCTTAAATCTTACACTAATTTTCCCTTGAAATGTACCCTGGAAATGAAAAGAAGATTACCCTATATAAAAACAAAAATAGTAGGTGAGGCAGAGATCTGCAAAGAACTGGGTTCAAGTTTCAGCCCTACTAAAATCCACAATCACAAAGGGGAGAGGCTCTGGTTCAATCCCTAGAAACAAATCAAGACACTTCCCCTCCCCTTATTTAATAACAGTAGGAATTTACTGACAATTTTCCTTAAAGTTACTGCAAGTTCTCTGATATTGCTCCACTCAAATTAAACCCATGAAATACACTTAGAGTCTAATGGGCTTAAGGTCATTAATGATTAAAAAATGTCATTCAACAAGCTTAGTTTATAATTTTTACCCACATATATCTATTTATATAAATTATAACTAATATTTCTTCAGTGCTTAATCTTTATAAGTATGTATCCTAATTGTTTTATGTATTTTTCTCAAACTCTCATTTCCACTGTTATGAAACACTTATTATCTCCATGCTAGCAATAAGGGAGATATGGAGATTAAATAAGCTGCTCAAGACAGTAAGCTGCAGAGCTGTCTCCAGATCTGCCTCTAGACCCCATTCACTTAATCCCCTGGATATATATTTGAAAACACACACAAGGTATTTTTTTACAAATTCTGTTTAATACTTTTCAAGAATGGCACATTCAACCAACATGATATTTTGCTTTTCAATTTCTTGAAAGTTACATTTCCTACCTGATTTGCTTTTCTCTATTTCCTTTCATTAATTGAATTCTGAATTCAGCATCAATTCAATATAAATTCTCCCACTACTACTTTTAAAGAAACATTGGTGGTGAGTGATGGCCTGTAATCCCAGTGAACCTGGAGGCTGAGGCAAGATGAGCACAAATTCAAAGCTAGTACTGGGACTTAAGCAGACCCTCAGCAACTCAGCTAAAATAAAAATAAAAAAGGACTAGGGACGTAGTTCAATGGTAAAGCATTATGGGTTCAACCCAGTACCACCCCCCAAAAAATGGTGGCTATCTACTCTGGAAACAACAGAAGGAAGAGAAGAATATAACAAATTTCTCTGATGTTTCCTTTTTCCTCACACCAAATCAAAAAGAAACACTTTCTGGTGATTATATCTATGTTTGAAGGCTTTATTTCAAAGTATTTCCTATACTTAAAATCAAATTGTTACATATATATATATGTGTGTGTGTGTGTGTGTGTGTGTGTGTGTGTGTGTATAACATATATGTACATAGGGAAATATATATATATATATATATATATATATATATATATATATATATATAATTTTATCTGTCAAATTGTATCTTCTCTCTAGTCAGCTTAATAATAAAGAACTCTCTCTCCTGCCATTGTTACATAGTGTTGCTTCTTTATTCTCTATCATTTTGGGGCTCCTTCCAGAAACTGAAAGATTTCATTTTGATGTACAATGTTTCAAAATATAATTTTCACATATTTTTAATTTGACTATTTTCATTTTAATCTCAGCTAATAGATAATCTTTTTAAAATGTTTTTTTAAATGATTATTTTTTATGCTCTGCTAAGAATCAAAACCAATGCCGCACACATGCTAGGCAAGCACTCTGCCACAGAGCTACAAAGTATATAATCTTAATCAATTATTAAACAGTATTTTTAAAATGTGATAGCCAAGTATCTACTTTCAATTTGTTACAGAATTATTTTAAGTTGTAGTTCTATGTGCAAATTTTGAAGGTGAGAACTGAGTTCCTGTCACAAATTTGTCTCATGAACAACAATTTTTATTTGTCCAGTGAAACTTTATCTATTTTCATATTTTAAAATTCCTATAACATAAAAATACTTAAAATTAGGTAGGTACCAAAAGTTTTAAATGAATTGTCAAATGCTAATCAATGCCAAGAGAATACATGTTCTTATTATTTTCACTGTTAAATAATCTTTTTATTGATTTTTTTAGCTATACATTAGAATTCAATTTGACTATTATAAAAACATAAAATATAATTTCTCTAATTCAGTCCCTTGTACATCCCATTTTCCTCCCCTCCCTCCCTCTCCCTGTTCCCTTCTCTCTACTCTACTGAACTTTCTGCCATTTACCCATACTTGTTTTTTAATTAATTTCTTGTGAATGTGCATGATGGTGAGATTCACTATAGTGTATTCATATATGTACATAGGAAAGTTAGGTCAGATTCATCCCACTGCACTTTCCTTTTCCCATCAATTCTCCTTCCCCCTCAATCCTCTTCCACTATCTCACTGATCTTTCTTCTATTTTGATGAAATCTCCCCTTCCTTTTTATCCCTCTTTTTCCTTATTAAACAATACCTTCTAATAAATAGCTTTTGGTGACTTGATATTTATATTCAATTTCTTGTTTTCCTATCTGTTACCATGTAGGTTTTATTTTCATTTTCTATTCTGGAAAAAATTAAAACAGTTCAGCATCTAAAAATGTATTCTCCCTCAGGTCAATTTTTGATTGTTTGAGTAAATGGTATAATAAAATCCTCAGGGAGCATGATGAACATTGATCATCTGCTAAAATTCCTGAAATACTATATGCTTCCTGATGTCTGAGTAAAATATATTTCTTTGTTTTCAGCTTTGAGTGTCTTAAAGATGTTAACTAATTAAAATATTACCAAGACAATATTACTGCCATAATAAATGAACTATGACTGCATACTCACACTTGTTCTTAGGCAATTTCCAATTGCATCAGTTTAATACTTCTTGAGAAATATGGTGTATTGTGTGGTTCCCCTCCCACCATGGTGTGATTCCTGTTTTCAATCACTTTATGATCTAAGGTGACCTGACATCATCCTAAGAGTACATATATCAAGCCAATATATAATTTGCATGTTTGCGGATTGTTTCAAAGATTAGTTATATTTTACTTTCTATTCTGTTTTCTGAGTATAAATATACCACACATGCACACACCTTCAGTTGCCAGATTAAATATGAATAAAGTATCCACTGTTTTGTGTTCCCCATTAGGTCATTTCTAATTCATTTATAAAAATGTTACCACAAAAAAAAAAAGGATTAAGAGAGGTGAAGAAGAAAAATCTATTAAGCAAAGATCAGAAATATTATTTGATTGTTTCCTTTAGCCAGGGAAACAACAGCTGATGAAGAAAAATCACATCACCAACACTTGAAACTGCTAATATTTGAATGCCAATTATATTCCAATTACTTTTCATACATTATTACATTAAATTTTCACAATAACCTCACAAGAATGCATGAACCACAAAAACATTAACTGGCCCAGTATAGAACAACTAGTATTTTACACAGCAGTTATTTGAGCGTAGCTTTCATTGAATCCAGAGTTTATCGTCTTTGTGTTGTATGATTTCATTTCATTGAAATAGACAAAATTTTCCCTAAATAGATAATCATATTTTTCAAATTTTAAAAAGTTCTTGCCTGGCATGGTGTCACACACCTGTAATCTCAGCATCTTGGGAGGCTGAGGCAGGAGGATCGCAAGTTCAACACTCAGCAATTTATCAAGACCCTGTCTCAAACAAACAAAAAATAAAATAAAATAAAAAACCTGGCTGGGGATGTGGCTCCGTGGTTAAGTGACTCTGGGTGCAATACCTGGTACCATAATTTTTTTTTAGTTCTTAATAACATTCCAACAAAAATATGTTACTGTAAGCACCCCAGAAGAAAGATCAAAATGCTTAACACAACAAAATATATGGTAAATATTAGACACAAAATTTTCCTGGTATGTTTTAGTTTGTATATTCTGCACATCTTATGATTCGCCTTGACACAATAAACTGTATGAATTACAATGGTAAATTGATATAAAATCAATTTGTAACTATTCGCCTTTCTGGATAATAGCTACAAATTGAACCCATAATTTGAAACACCTATCAAAAAAGGTCTCCTTGTCAATCACCAGTAATTATTAGGTATGGTCATAAAGTTATCCTTCAAAGCAAATGATGTCTGCCTG